TTTACATTGAGACCCAGGCCCTCAATGTTCCTCTAATCTACTTAACATAGACACAATAGAGAATCCTGTCTCTTACTTACTAAAACCTTAAAACAAAGAAATGTATATTTAACTAGAGTGCCTATATTGTAATACATATAGGAAACCATAGTAGACATTATAACTTATCCTAAAACAAAAGGGTGACCATAATCAGTCATAAGGATTGTTCTGGTCTGTCATTCCTTTCTGCTATTCAAAAAGGGTGGCTGACAGGATGAAATCAAATCATACATTAAATCTCATAAAATCCAGCTCCTACAAGATGAGATCATAAATTTGGTTGATAAAGGTGTTGACATAACATACTTAGGCTTCTGTAATGCATTTGACTTAGTCCCACATAAAGTTCTGAATTTTAAAAAATTAGCACTATAGAAAATCAACGTATCCTATATTGATTGGATTAAAAACTGGTTAACTGATAGATCTAAAAAAATAATTGAAAATGGAGAATATTCCTATGCGGGTGTCTCTAGTGGAGTCCACAAATTTGAAAGTAGTGTAGAGCCAAGAAGATGGACCCACCAGACCTACAAAGTAAATGGAGGACTGCCTCATATTTGTTGGTTTAGCACATAACTGCCCTGCACTCAGATACTGCAATAATTAAATTAGTATAAATACTTATTGGGACCTAGAGGTTAAAATCAAGATAATGTGGAAGTGTACAAGAGCTGCTATCACACAGTGACTCCTCTTTTAATATGTGTACTATACTCATTAACCATTAAGAGGGGGTTAGAGAGTGTTAGTTACAAACAGTACAGGTGGAAGGATGTTTACCTTTTTCTCATGTCATGACAGGTAGGGGACTATCCATCTTAAAAGAATAATTAGAGGCTGTTTGCTATGTGATTCCAGAGTTACATTTCTACAGTCCCATTAGAAAGCAATTATAATTCCCAGTGATTAATTCACGTGCAGGGAATTCACCACTGAAAGGATTTCTGTAGTGTTAATTGGAACAGTCCTCCCTACTATCTTAATTTAGGAAGCGAGACAGTTTAGCTATACAAACTAAAGCAGGTTCAGATGTTAGATGAGATTTCACCTGTATTGGATGTTTGATCTCTCCCATCTAAATCCTCAGGTCTAGTTACCTTGGAAATTTTCACAGCCAAACCGAGGGGAAGGAATTCTATTGAATATATGAGGTGAAATCCTGGCACCATTGAAGTCAATGGGAATTTCTTCATTAACCTGAATGGGGCCAGGGTTTCTGTGTAGAGTAGTCACTAACCTAGTGGCCCTTGGTTTTTCCAAGGAGCTTCAAACCGGACTCCACATCTGTACGCAAAAATATGTGCAAGTGACAAAATCAAATTTGTGTTAGAAAAGGTAGAGGCTGTTGTTAAAAATTCAAAGCAGTAAATACACTAATCAATTCCTTCCTATTCTTCCCCTTTCTCTGAGAAATTCATCCTAGGAAAAACAAGAGAACAATTACTTGTAAGACATAAAAATGGACTCTGACAAGTAACTGATTAGAGGAGAGGACAGTCTAACAACAGAGTAGACTCTAATTTTTGTGTCCGAGTACTTATGTGTTTGATTCTTGTCCCTAGAACAACGGAGGGTTAGAAGAGTTGTGGTAGCGGCATGCAGTGTAGTGGTGGGTTGATGCAAAGAGCAATATAAGCAGACTTCTGAGGGAGGCACATCCAGCCATCCATGGAGAGTAACTGCAGTTTGGGGCCTGTGGCATGGGTGTGCAGGGAGGAGCAGACAGAGGAGAAAAGAGGGTGGATTCGGAGACTGCCCTTACGGGGGTAAAAATGGGTCACTAGCTTGCAGGCTGTGTTGAAAGTACATCATGTCATTTACAGACAGATTTAAAGGTTGCAGCACCAGCTGTGCTTGCAGCATCAATGTGTTTAACTCCAGCCAGGGAGTCATGTAATCAGATTATGACAATGTTGGTGGGTCTGTGCTCCAGTTTTTCATACCAGAATGTAGCAATCTCCACTGTTTAACTAGAATATTATTTAGACAAGGCAGGAAACGGCAAGTGTGACTCACTATGGGAAAGTGCTTTCTAAATCTGAACGACTGTTAGCCATATGGGTACGGGACAGAGAATTGATCATTCTGCCCATTTTCTGGAATAATTCAGCATTAAGCCCTGTCAGAATGGTGTAAAGAGCGAAGGTCAAAGAAATAAGATTACTTCCCACCCCACATACACACAGCAAAGAGAAGGTCCCAGACCAGTGAAGGCTCTGGTTTGCTTTTTCATGGTGTCAGTGTTGCTGCTGAGCCCCTGCTCTCAGCTTCCATGTACGATGCACGTTTGTAGCTCTCGGTGCAGTTTGCTGAACGGTTTATCATCACTTCTGCTCACAAGATCCTTAAAGGCCTGCACCCCTGTGCAGCAGGCCTGCCCAAAGGCCTATGGACCGCTTCAATTCTACGCATGTCTGTGACTAAGCCCCAAGTTTAGGCTGTCTTCCAGCCCCATTATACCATCTGATTCCTCCAGCCAGGAAATACCACATCAGGAGTGATCCCTGGGTGGGGCAGAGCTGATATAAAGGGCCTACAGGGTGCACCCTGGGTGGGGGTGGCATGAGGACTGTGTGGCCACAATGCTCCAGCTATTCTACAAGTGTCTGAGCTTACGTTAGAGCAGCCATGGGCCCCCCAGTTGGGCCCAGAACTGAAAGGTGACTCAAAGCAGCTGAGAATTGGGGGCTAAGGGCTCAGATGGTGACTGCTACAGCCTGTGTGGCTGAACTTCACTTTTATCTCAGTTTTGTCTGTTACTTTCCTAAACAGTATTTTAAACAGGTCTGATTTAATATGTAGATTTTTTCCTCCTTTGTAGAAAGTTGTTTGTTTTTTCTCTCTCTCCTCTCTCAGGGGGTATCCGTCAGGCCCCAACCTCTGGCTCATGCTCCCTTTAGAGAGAGGGATTCTGACTGTCCTCACTCCGCTTGATTGTAGGATCTCTAAATTACATTGGGAGTGAAAGCATGAATGACTTGTATTCCAATAGTCAACATATAGTAAGATCTATGGCACTGCTCTCTTGCCAGGTCTGGCTTATAATCAAATAAAGCAGATTTTGGCTTAATAGAGCACTAGCCCTCTTTCTTTCATCGGGAGGGGTAAGAATACTCACAAGAGACTCCAAACTGATCACACAAGTATATTAAAAGAGTGTGAGGTTAGCTTTAAAATATAGGGAGATCTTAAAAAGAATGACTGTGTATGCTACTCTCCACTTCCCCTATTGGCTGCATGGAGAATAAATCCAAATCTAATGCCGCCTCCTTCCACTGTACAGCTCCACATGTGGAAAGGACGTGTCTGTGTCCCCAAGGCTCAGTCCTGCAAGGTGCTGAGCACTCCGGCAAAGCACTCTAGCACACCCTTCACTCTAAGCATGTGAGCAGTCTCACATCAATGGAGGCTTCGCATTTGCTTAAAGTTAAGCATCCAGCCACTTTGCCGAATCAGCATCTCAAGTCCATATAACAGTAAGTTATACATTTACTGGGGGGCAGGAGGGTAATATGGGAAAAGTGCCCTGACATAGCAATACAATTGACTCAATATATCGTTACTGGACAGGCTTGCCAAATATTTTGCTGCCTCCCCAAGAAATATAACAAATTTCAGACCACCACGGTGCGCTATTCTGTACAGGCTCAGTCTGAAGATTTGGGGGAAATTGAGCGAAGTGATTTGTTTTATATATGCCCCAGACCTAGTGGACTAAATTTACATCATGAACGAGTGGAGGGGGATCTTTGGCCCCAATTGCGCCCCCCACCCCCACCCCTCCTGCTATAAAAGTGCAGCTTGTGGTGGGGTCTGGGCATAATTGTCCCTTGCAAACTTTGTAAGATGTTGGTAAGTGTGCAAACAATCAGGGCATTGGGGGTCATTAGGCACCCAGCACCTAGAAGGTTTTGTGTGTTCTGGTGAATATTAGCGCACAGCTGGTGTTTACGAACACATTTAAATATCTGACTCTGCTGTTGGCTCTACCTGTGACAGATCAGATTTACAAGTAGGAACATTTAAGCAGAAAGCATAAGTGACGTGCCCAGGACCAGAGAGGGCATCATTTAAAGCTTGAATGAAAGTGCTGGATTCCTGGTCCCTATTCCATGCTGCCTCTCCTCCAGGTCACACTAGCTACACAGCAGAGGATCCGCACGAGCAACAGTCAGTTGTCTGGGAGGTCATTTGTGATGGCTGTTTTGCTATCAGGAGCCAGGAAAACACTGCACCAGAGCTGGAAACTGATCTTGGATATTCAAGATGGGTGAGGCTATGCAGTCAGTTGAGGGAGGTGTGTGCATGGTTTACACAGCCCTCCAAGTCCAGTTCTGGGTGACTAGTGGGGAACTATGAATAACCCGTGGTCTTTACGAAAAATCAGTGACAAGCTACCAAACCAAGCAATTGATTTACATTTTCGAGGCAAATGTCAAGGGCAAGGGGGGAGAGAACCCTTTTATAAAATGAAAGCCAAATTTCTCTCTTTTGCTCCTGTGTCTCCAAATTAGGCAGGGTTGTAACCCAGCTCTGTATGATCTCATATACATGGAGCGTATAAAACACATGTTACCTATGTAGCCTTTGCATATGTTCCATATGTCTTTGATCCACATGGGAGGCTTTACGTTCCTGCCTCTTGCCCCTTTACACACCAAGGCTGTGTCACTTTCATTATTCTAGACGTGTCATTTCTGAAGAAATATATATCCTGTTGTTGGGGAATTTTTGTTCTGTTAATTGTCAAGTGTCTGGTGGGTAATGAGCAATGGAGGACTAATTGGAAGCAAGAGGGAATAAAATAGGTATTAGTTTGTTTCTGTTCTTAATTAAGAGGATATATAATACTGTGGGGAAAGTTTTTAACAAATGGCAGGAGGGTTTTTTATCATTAAGAGAGGATTAATTGGAAGCATCTTATAAATTAACTTAGAGGAACTGTGTTTTTTCCTTTTAGGTATCACACCAGGATATAACTAGCAAACAGCAAAGCAAAGGCCTAAAAGACCATTTCTATAGGAATCTCAAACAGCCAGAAGGGGAAGAGAGAAGTCCCAGTTTCCCTGGGAGTGCAAAAATGGTAATTACCTGGCAGATTGTGGCCAAGAGGAGAATTAGGAAAAGTAACTAAATACCTATTTACCCTAAAGGGTACTGCGCAAACTCTCTGTGAATTAATTTTCTCTCTATTAATTCAAATTGTTACTTTATTTTAATTTTAAGTTCAATAACTTGACTGCTATTCTTTAAAAAGTTAATCAGTTGGAAGCAAAAACGTGTTACTAAATAGTCCTCTGAATAAACAGACTAGGGTGGTAATGAAAGAAACTATGCTTGACTGTATCATTTTCTTCCCATCAAATGAAAAATATTCCAAATCCTGAAGATCTTGTCGTCTACCAGCCACATCTAATACAAAGGCTTCCCGTTATCTGCCTTGTCAATCAAGCCCAGTCATGTTCTGCTCTTAGAATATGAATATGCATTTTATAGAACAGAGGGTCCAACATGACACGTCGCATTCAGCTTGAAATACTGTACAAATGGGAATTATGGACATGATCCTGCTTCCACTGAAGTCAATGGTAAAACTTCCAAGCTGTAGGATTAGGCCTTTAGAAAGCAACAGGCAATAGATGTGGCTCGGGGAGGAGAGGGCAGGTGCTCATTAATCTGAGATGCTGAATCAAATGTAATTGAATCTCTCAATCTAGACAGAACAGATGATGGCAATGTATACCCTCAGGAAAAGGGGTTTTCACCATTAGAGTTATAATATTACCTTGGCAGGCACTGATAATCTTTTGTGCAGTTTTTGTTAAAAAACAAAATTCAGTGAGGTTATACCACCACTTGTAAAAAGCTTCACAAGGACCAAATTAAGTGAAACAGACCAAGTTTCTGCAGCATCCTGCCTTCCTGTGGGTGAGGTTTGGCGAGCTACAAAGGGACAGAGACTAGTCCTCCAGTCCTGCATCTAAATATCCTAAGGTCTGGGACAAACTTGTGGATCTTGGAGCATTCACCTGTGCTTGGATCACAAACACCACTTCTAAAAGGGGATGCATGTTCAGAGTGGCAATCTGCAGAGAGAGGTCAATATTGACCCCTGGGTTTTTCATCATGGGTTTACTGATGCTGTGGAAAGTGAGCTATCCAGGGCTCTGCCACCTCCCTGCCAGCCATGCCCTCTGCAGAGCACCAAACCGTCAGTCAGCAAAGAGGGTCCAATGTGTAGCTACCGTAGCTACCACGGTCAGAATCACAATGTCAAAATCTAAGATAAGGGGAGGGATACTGCTGTGCTGATTAGGTTCACCTCCTCTCCCTCTGACAGGCTTTCAGCTGTTTTCTGCCCCTTTCATCCTTTCATGGGGTAAAATTGAAAGTGTTCGTCTGATTCTAATATGTACACAGTGCAGATATAAAGAACTTCCACAACCAGTATCAGAACAGAGAATTCCTGCTGCTGCTGCTCAGGTGAGAGATTCTAGACGCACACGTATTACAAAGACTTTCACACAAATAAATGCCATTGGTGAGAGTATCGATGCTTTCTGCCCACGGACAGTTCTTCCCATTCAAGCCTGGGGCCATGGCGTACTAACACCCGAGTGGAGTGAGATCAGGAGCTGATTTTTGAAGGTTTCTGTTCAATATATCTAATTTTTTTCAGCACTTTAAAAACTCTGTCAGATATTAATTCAGGTGTCTGCCCCTTCCCTCCCCATTTCAACTCGCCTAATCAGCTGCAGCACCAAAAATGAAATGATGTTTTTTGCTGCACGTGTGGCCATGATTGTGACTATCTCCTTTTGCCATAATGGAGTGGCACTAACTAAAGGGTATAAACCGTTCATTCCATGTGTTGAGGTCCTGGTTTTGGTTTCCCTGTGGCCCAGAGTTCCCTTGCAGTTGTTCATATAGTGGAGGTGCAGACTGCAAACAGACTGGTCAGCTGCTGCATGCTGTTCTCGGGCAGAATGCCAGCAGCCTGCTGGTGGGGAAGTTGGCAGGCAGGGGGAGTAGCTGGAATCCACTTGTCTTAGACAAGAGACGCCCTTCTGGCATGTCCTGTGATTGTCACTGCTGAAAAGTATTTTGCTAACAAAGCCTGGATTGGTGTCAGTCAGGCAAACTCAGTCCACTGGTCCCCTGGAATAAATCACCTGGGGAAGTCACCAGCAGATCTCAGACTCCAGTCTCTTCCCTAGTTGGTTCTAATTAGCCCCCTGTGAGCAGCCCTGTAATTTGACTGAGACAGGTGGGAATCTTTCCTTTCTTTTATTTTGTAAGAGGAAGGATGGTCTTGTGATTAAGGAACATGACGACTCAGGATTTTGGGGATCTATTCCCAGTTCTACCACCGACATTGTGTGTGACCTTGGACATGTCACTTATCTTCTCTAGGCTGGATTAATCCTGCCTCCAGTGCAGGGACCAAGAGGGGAGGCTTGGTGTCTCCTCTATGCTGAGGTTGCTGGGGCCAAGCTGACCCCCTGGAGCAGGTTAGTGCAGCCTTAAGGATGTTCTAACTACTGTCATAACCTCACGTTCCATATGGTCAGACCCTGCCACATGTCCACCCACCCCAAACAGACTCCCTACCCTAGATGGTCCTGCTAGGATTGAGCCAGTGGCACCATCTCTCCATTTCTAGCAGAGAGGGCCTCTTGTGTTGGGGGTATTCTACTGGGGAGCTGCACAAGAGCAGTTAATACCTTCCTCTGGGCATCAGTTACCCCATCTGTGAAATGGAGATAATTGTACTTTCCTACCATGCAGGGGGGTTTGAGTCTTTATTTATTAATTCTTGTGATGTTCCCCTTTGGATGGAAACATTTTGGGTTGTGCTTTTATTATTCTTTTATTATTATTATTTATTTTATTTTTATTATTTTATTGTTATTATATAAGAGTCCTGCTTATTCAGTCCCCATCAAGTATCAAATACTATTAGGGCTCAGTGGCCCACAAGTGAAAATTAGCACCAAAGCACAAACTTCTTTACCCATTATAAATAGGCTCCTGAATAGTAAAAAACCTAGAAAGACTGTGCACAATAAAAGTATTCATGACCTTAGGCCCAATCCTGCAAATATGAACTACCAGGTAAAGTATGTACTGCCTTGAGTAATCCCAGTGTCTTCGATGGTTTATGCATTGTGCCCAGTAATAAATGTTTACGAGACGGAGTCCTAAATTAGTGTTTACGTAGAAGCCAAAATGCTGTTTTCAATGGTCTGATTCCCTTCGTAACCTGAGAAGTGCAGGGTTCCAATATAACTTCACTACCTAAGTGGATTTCCTTCAAAAATGTTTTTTAAAAACATTTATGTGTGTTATGTATGTATTTATGCAGACGTGCGTGCGTGCACACATATACACACACTGTATGTACCTTTTCTTCTGCCAGTCCATGCCCATTTCCATAGAAACAGAAGTGAAATCATGACTCGGCCACCAGAAACTGAGTTATTTTCATTTCCCTACATGCAGGGTCAGAAAGGCTGTGGGTGCCAGCAGGCAGCTGTCAGCTCATAGTGAGAACTTTCCCTTGTACATTTCAGCAGCTGGCTGTCATCTGACAACTACAAATACCAGGTTTGCAAAAAACAGTTACAGACTTCAGAACCCTTTCAGCTTTGAATGCCTTTCAGGTTTGAATGTTTGTGTTGGGGAGCCCTGGTGTTTATGCTTTTGGATTTAGGTGTGCTGGGAGGACTGCTAGTAACGTTAGATATCACCTGTTGAAAATCCCTGTTCACTCTGTCTAGATGTTGGGATTGGGAGGGGTCAGCATGGAGAGTCTGGACCCAGACAGTGCCATTTATGTCCACAAAGCCATAACTTTGAAGTTCTTGCCCTTGAGTCAGAGCAGTGGTTAATGTGCTGCATGAATGATTGATAAACATTCTTTAGTCTCCTTCACAGTTCATTGCCCTAGTTAGACAATGATGATGAACATGCAAGGCTCTACCGTATATACTCACTTATAAACCAATTCCCAGAAAGCCAATCCTCTTCTCTTCCCTGCAGACACTAACAAACATAAATGTCCTGCATGTAAACTTATTCTTCTCCCACTGCCCCTGTGCTCCTCAGCTAAGACATTATGGAAGAGTCTTCCTTAAATAGGAAGTAACTTAGGGGACCCCTCATTAGAACTCCTGGCTCCCCTCTTTCCTTGCTTGATTAGTGTATAAGCCAAAAGTTTTGCCTGGAAATTGTGCTTAGCTTTATATATCAGTAAATATGGTATTTGCCTGAACTGCCCTGAATGAGTCACCATCACTGATATGCCCAGCCAGAAACTCCAGAGCCTACACCTACCGGGTGTCTGTGCTTAGCACGCATGCTGCAGCTAGTCCAGCAAGCCAGCTGCAACCAAGAATTACCTCGCTGTAGCTGCACTTATCAAATCTGCACGTTGTAAAATATGGCTTTGTGAAGGTTCTCAGATCAAACCCAGTCTTACTACAGAACAGTGCCGTAAAATGCCAAAGCTCACAGCTGTCAGAGGAAGGGCTTTCACTGTGAAAAATAGGCATGCAGCAAAACACCACATCTTAGTTACAGACAGATGGCTTTAAACTTAAACTGATTAAAAGGCCACGCTAATAGCACCACTACTAATGCCACATTAATTGGTAGGAATGTTCGTCACATCCAAGGCTGGCTCTATTATACAGGCAGAACAGGTGGTTGCCTGGAGCAGCAAAATGTTTAGGGATTGTGGGAAGTGAAGGGCATGTGTTTTCCAGTTTGCCATGGGCATCAACAGCCATAGACCTGATGCTAATCTGAGAAGGGAAGAAACTATTAGCAATCAGCCATTTTGGCTTTGTTCCGGTGGCCTAGTATTACTGCTTTGCAATGCCCCAGAGGGGAAATATGGGTTCAATTATGGACCCATACACGTCTTTCACGTGTAAGGCTGATATGGGCAGCTAAGGGAGACAGCATGCTCAGCCCATTAGTGGAAGGGGAGTGTGACAGGGAGTATTACAAGATGCTCAGCAGGAATCTTTCCTGCCCATCAAGGTACAGCAATAATGGGCTCCAGAAAAAGTCCATTCAGTCTAGCGAAGGATGGTTGAAACATGGGCTTCTCCAGGAAATATACCACAGTATTCTACAGCAAAAGCCCAAAACACGGCAGTGTTGCTAATATAAGGCACAGTGTTTTCACCTATTACTGTAGAGTACCATTGTACTTTTCAAAATAAGGTTAGAAGCAGTAATGCTGAACGAGACCCCTGGCCAGTAAATTAGGCATCAGTTTGCAACGTGGCATGGCTGCAGAAAAGACTTGCCTGACTTAGGGGTTGTATTATGAAGAGGTGGCAGGTAATGCTCACTCAAAGAACTGACGTGCCTGGAAACTTGATGCAAAGGCATCATGGAGCCGGGGGGAGGGGAGAGGGGAAGGAAACAGAGGTTCTGTTACCTCCCTGCTCTCTGCTATGGCCACATCTGAAATATTGCATTCAGTTGTGGGTGCCTCTTTACCAAGATAGTGATCAATGGGCGGGAGTTCAGAAGAGAGCAATAAAAACAACCAAGCAGCAGGAGGAGTTGACTTCTGAGGGATGATTTTAGATAGCTAAATATGTATAGCTTGACTAAGCTAGAGTTCAGGGGGAACCTGATGGCTGCCTACAAATACTGGAAAGGTGAAAACACCAAAGAGGAGAAATGAATTAACATGGCACCTAGGAGTATAAGTAGGAGGAATGGGTGAAATTAAGCAAGGAAAATGTAGGCTAATAGGCCTGACAGTGAGATCTACTGGACTAGGAAGTGGTGAAAGCCAGTTTCCTGGGGACATGTAAGCTAGATTGGAGAAAGCACTAGAGAATATACTGTGGAGAAAATCCTGACTGGCAAGAAGACAAGCTCGATGATACCAGAAGTGCTTCTAATATCTATGCAATGTTGCCAACTCTTGCCATGTTTGATATTTTAATTAAAAGTCCCAGCTGCTGGAGTTCTGTCACTACATGAGAATCTCAACTTTAATTTCTTTCAACAAATGTTCCTAGACGTGGTTGTGGAGAAAAGTTTGAAAATGTTACTTGAGTGTAACCTTCAAGACTCAAGAACCAGAACACAAATAAAAATAACCCATTTTAAATCACATGATTTGTAAGACAATCTCGTGATTTTTGGTGGCCCAACTCATGATTTTTGAGCTGTTGGCACTGACAATATACATTCTAGTATTTAAAAAAAAAATCAGAAAGTTTTTCCACTCATGAATATTATGTCTGAAAATCATATTGGGTTTCCCCTGCAGTTACTTATCTGTGCGGGGTAAACAGCAGCCTGGTTTGTAAGGACAGAAACATTTCAAGGGACTTTTTTAACTTTAAAGTAGTTTTCCTCTGTTACTGATTCACTCCCCCTCAGAGATTTTCAGACTGACGTTTTCCACTTCTGATTTGTGATTTGCATACAAGTTCTACTTCCTGCTGCAGAGCCTGTTCTGCAACTTACCTGAAAGAGAGCGAGAGAGAAAGAGAAAGGGGAGCATAAAGGGAGAAAAGAAAACAGAGATCCCCAGGAAAAAAGTGTGCAGGAGAAAGCCCAACAGTCGCTCTCTACCCTTGGTCAGTCCAGCGTGTGTCCCTGCTAGCCCCACGGTAAGAGCTCTTAAAGATATTGCTACTCGCTGTCACTGTTTGTTACTAACCACTGACCCACTTTGCCTCTTGTTTTTCTGTCTCTTCTTTCTGGGCTCTAACCTCCTTTTTATTTTGCCCATTTTAGCAAACAGTGTAGCAAACAGTGAGTTTGGCAAAGAGCTCACTGTGCTTCAGCTGCTTCGCTTTACAGATTTGGATCAGGACTGTCTGTGAGTAAACACTCTGGAAATGGATGACATACGCAGTGTTTCTATGTCGTCCTAAGGGCCTAAGCATTTGTATAGTCGTCTGAAAAATGCCAGCGACGGGCCTGATCCTGGCTGGCCATTGCACGGGTGTACCACTGGAAGGTAACTTGCAAGGAACTTTCACCTCTACCCCTCTGTGCCCCCCACGCAGGGATCCTGCATTCTTCTGAGTGGTGACACAGCTGTGCTCCCCAGGGGCTTCTGGAGGAATTGTGGCACCGTTGGGACAGCGGTTTTGCACTCCCTGCCACGCAGGCCCACGCCTCACTGCCTACTCGGCCATAATGAGGGTTGTTTCCCAGTAATCTAGGAATTGCCTAAAAGGCTGAAGAGCAAATCATTATGGAAAATTAATGAAGAAATAGGATTATAGACCAAGATAAAACACTTCCAACCTGATGTTAATATCAGAACAGATTGCAAGTGATCTGATATTAATTTTAAAAAATCAGCTGTATAACTGATATGTTAACATCGCTTTCAGAATACAGCTGCAACTAGTTTCTGGGAATTACATGGTATTGCAAAATTAAGGTCTCCTCTAAGGACTAAGGCCTGATCTACATTAAAAATTATACCAGCATAATAATGTCAGGAAGGTGATGTTTTTCCAACGTAGCTATGCTGATATATGCAGTAGTGTAAGACTCAGTTATGCCAGCAAAACTATGCTTTGCTGGTGTAGTCTATTTTGCTCAAGGAACTGGGGTGAGCTATACTGACAGTTAAAAGCTTCATCTATAGTAGGCAGGTTTGCTGGTCTAGCTAAACCAGCAAACCCTTCTTAGCAATAACAAGTCCTTAGGTAGAGACTGTACCAACTCTTTGATGCCATCTGCAAGGAAATAACAAAATGCTTCCTAGCTCCATAGGCTCAAAAAATGTCATTGGAGGAGGGGGGAAAGGTTGGTAAGACCTCCGTTCTTCCTCTCATTGTCTTGTATTTCCCCAAAGCGCTGTTTAGCATGCGGCCTCGAGTACATTTCGCATTATCCACGCCACTTCTTGGTTTGGGGAATTTGTTTTGGTTTTGCAAACTACTATTGAAGATTGTTGTCTTGAATCAAAGAAAAGGAATTTCAGCCGGATGAGGCTGAACTGGGCACACTTAGTCATCACATGATCCTAAGCAGCATCAGAGCACAATGGCGTAAGGTCACAATCGTGCCTCAGCCAATTCAAGCACTGCTGAGGGTCGTGTGCTTGGGAGGGAATGTCTTGTTTTTCAGTTTACCCTACTGTGGGGATTGGGTACAAAGAGGGACTGAGGGCACTTTGATTATTGTGTTAGGGCTGGGTGCCAGAGATGAGGGGGGAGTTCACCCTCCCCACCCACTTTTGAAACAGAGGGAGCCGTACCCTCCTCACTTTTGAGAACATGAACTTGCCAGGGGGTCCGGACTCCCACCCCCTGTCCCCCGACCAGAGCTGGATGGTGTAAGCAGAGCCCCTTCCCTGCTCACATAACAGAGGAGCAACTGGGCCAAATTTGAGTGAGTGGCTCTGTGACCTGGTGCACAGGGTCACAACACCACTCCAATGTGAGAGTCTCTGAGCTAGCAGGATTTGAACCGGAGGAGAGTTTATCTACCCAGGGTCTTTTATGGCATCATCTTATCTGAGTTACTCAGGCACCAGCACAAGCAGCCTGGCACAAAGGGCTCTCACTCTCTTAGGACCCAAGGCACTGCTCCCCTGTCAGTTTCCTATGTGCCTCCGCTCTTCACACAGCACTGATGAGCTCTAAGAAGCAGCTGTGATCAGGCTGAAGTCTGTATGAGGGTTGAACTGAGGGACAGTGGTTCTGATGTTGGCTTATGGCAGCCAGAGTGCCCTTCAATATACTGCTATACTCGGTGCATTGGAAGCTGCAATTCTTTAGGTTCTGTGTGCCTTCAAGAGTCAAGGGGGACCCATAGCAACTCTTACATGATGCTGCCTTGCTTTGGAAGGCAGGCTGCATGCCTTGGAAGAAAGTGCTGGAGCTTATGTGTAGGTGTTTACCCAGGGCTGATGGCTCCTTCTGTGGGTACCCAAAAGGGGGTCTTCATTCCTTATCAGGAAACATGTTGAGGGGGAAGCCTGACCGGGGGAATGTCTGCCTAGTGCTGTGCTGATGTCAATGTCCAACAGTTGGCCTCATGTTGACCCAGCGCACAACGTTGCTGTCTTTTCAGCACCCATAGTATTAAGGAGATGTGGCAGTATTTCCATAGGTAAGTTTGAAACCAGCTTCCACTATAGAGCCCTATTTTGGCACCCTCATAACTTTGGAAAATGGATTTGGCCTGGAAATTGCCATGTTTACTCTGCAGCAAAAGGAGACTGTTTCTGCAAAGTTTGAAGAAAATTCATCAAGATCCTTTGACGTTACATGACATTATAATAGTGCCATGGTTTGAAATTCTGACTTGGTATCTTTGTCTTCCTCTAGCTCTAAAGCAATGTGTTGCTACCTCTTCAGTGGAGCATCAGAGCCAGGCAGAATTCCAAGTCCTATGCTCAAGAAAGCACATGGACAGCACCCTAGCTACTCCCCACGGAGATGCATGCCACCCTTAAGGGGAAGGGAGGAGTGGAGAGTTAGGGAGATTTGTGGCTCTGTTGGTCCCCCTGTGCACCAGCCAGCATTGTGGGGTGGTGGTGTGTGCACACCCCCTGTTCAATGGAAAGCTCCAGGAGGCATTCTGACTCTAAGCCAGAATGCCTTGGTGTTTTCCCTGGGGCAATGCACCTCCCACCTCTTCTGGGCTGTGCCTAAAGGGTACCAATGTAGCCCTGTGTTAGCTGAGAATGTATTCCACTTAGCCACTGAAATAAAGAAAACACAATTACATTAAAATCAGTAATTCAGTGGTCAAAGTTATGGTTGTTTTGATAAAATATGCTTTTCATTATAGTTCATATGCATGTGTGTGTTTATTTTGTGGGCAGTTCAGGATTCATTTCCTTGTTTTCAAAAGCTTGCATTTTGTTACTGATGTGATATGCAAGCCTGTTGTTGTCATTTACTAGCATTTTAAATAACGTGGTTGTTGTTGTTTTAGACCAGGGATCGGCAACCTTTGGCAGCCGCACGCAGCCCATCAGGGAAATCCGCTGGTGGGCCGGGATGGTTTGTTTACCTGCAGCGTCTGCGAGTTCAGCCGATCGCAGCTCCCACTGGCTGCGATTCGCCGTTCCAGGCCAACGGGGGCTGCGGGAAGTGGCACAGGCCGAGGGATGTGCTGGCCGCCGCTTCCCACAGCCCCCATTGGCCTGGAACAGTGAACCGCGGCCAGTGGGAGCTGCAATCAGTTTGATTTTGTCCTTTGACCCTGGTCATTTGGATCATAAGTCACAAATGGCTCCCCTGTTTGCAGCACTTAGTTTTAGGAAGGTTGTGTCCAATCTTTCTACAGAGCAAGCTGTAGCATTTCACTTCTCCATTTAGCCTTATATGGCCCATTCCCATAGTGTCTGAGCATCTCAGAGGCTTAATGTATTTATCCTCTCAACACCATATGAGTTAGGAAATACAGTTATCCCCATTTTACAGGTGGGGAACGTAGGCACTGAGAGACTGAGACTCACTCAAGGTCACAGAGGAAGTCTGTGGTGGATCTAGGGTGACCAGATGTCCCGATTTTATAGGGACAGTCCCGATTTTTTGGATCTTTTTCTTATATAGGCTCCTATTACCCCCACACCCCGTCCCGATTTTTCACACTTGCTGGCTGGTCACCCTAGGTGGATCAGGGAATAGAACCCCAGTCTTTTGAATCCCAGGCTAACTTCATAATCACTGCACTATCTTTCCTGTCCATCCCTCTTGTGCCCGGCTGAAGCAAAGGTTAATTTACCTCCAAACCTTTCCAGATGAGTTTAACTTCCACCCCTTTATTTATGTATTGCATATCAGACTGGAAGAGGTTTCTCCCTTGTCCTAACATTTCCTCTTCTATTGATTAACACACAAAACTATGACTTTAATCAAATTGCTCTTCAACTCTCAAAGCCCTCTGAAAAAGAATGAGAGCACAAGCACCTTCTTTTGTTGCAGGTTCCTTCCTTTCCCTTGTCAGAAGTTGTCTAATCAAATCCAGGCAGTTGGAGGTATTGTGTGGGGATGTGAATCTTGACCTTAAAATTGGAAAATATATGGAATGCTTTGTGGTTGATTATGAAATCCTTAAACTGTAAAGTTGGGCCTGAAGCTAACCCCCAGCTACAATCTCTCTTGAATGTTAAGGGAGTTTGGCCCTGCTATTGAATTCTGCACCTCAGGCCTAGCTCTATTGACCTGGAAAAGTGAGTGTCTGCTCCCCACCTTTCTTTCCACTTACTTTCTCCCCTGAAACTCCCACCAGAGACATCCAAAGCAAACTGTGTCCAGAACAAGCATATGATGCGGTCGTTTTATTGTGAACATTGCTGTCCAGGACTGTTTCAACAGCACAGTCAGCACTCCTTGGCTCTGAAGCTTTCAGTTTATCTGGCAGGAGAAATGGAAGAACTTCTCTCAGTCTGGGAACTGTTGCAAGGAAGCTTGGAAGAGTTTGGTCACAAGAGCTTGAGCCACTGTCTATCAGCTCACTTAAGACAAACTCTCCAAGGCTATTTA